TCGTTTCCTTTTTCTTTCACCAATTCCTTCTCCTTCTAATCCTCTTTCTTCTTCTTTTTCTGGCCATTTCATCAAGAAATCGTATCATCATCTGCTTTTTGTCTGAAATGCGTAACTGTTTTCGCTTATTTCGTTTCTGCAATATATTTCTCAATCACCACTTTCTTCTTTCTTTCATTTCTTCTTTTCTTCTATCATACATTCCAATTCATCTAATCATTTTGTTTTTGCTCATCGTCCTTCCTCGATTTTCCATCTTCAGCCAGCAGCAACGCCCCTGTCGGGAGTTTGAGGAGCGTAGAATCACACCTTAATCGCAGTTGTTGCCAGTTACACACTAGCCCGGAGTGGTAGCACCTGTTAAGGTCCCAGATATAGTCAAATAGTGAACCCCCCAAACAAAACCCAAATCACTAAGAAAGTATAAAAATATATATTATTAGTAAAAATACTAGCAATATATTGTATATATATATATATATATATATATATATATATATATATATATATAGTGTAACCCGTTATAAGAGAGTTGTTGGGACCGGAGAAGAAGTCTCTTATATCCTAGTTTCTCTTATATCCGGGTTTGGTCTATTTTATATACATTAACACAGGCTCTAATTTGGGACCAGAGAACATCTCTCTTATATCCGGGTCTCTTATATCCGGGTTACACTGTATATATATATATATATATATATATATATATATATATATATATATATATAACCTGGATATAAGAGATTATTGGGACCGGAGAAAAGTCTCTTATATCCGGGTTTGGTCTATTTTATATACATTAACACAGGCTCTAATTTGGGACCAGAGAACATCTCTCTTATATCCGGGTTTCTCTTATATCCGGGTCTCTTATATCCGGGTCTCTTATATCCGGGTTACACTATATATATATATATATATATATATATATATATATATATATATATATATATAATGCTTGACTCTTCGGAAAACGAATCGAGTTCTCTCAGTCACTGTGAGTTTATCTAAAAATAAATACGCTTAAATTCACCTTCGTCCCTGCCCGCTTAGTGGTAGACTCTCAGACTGACGCCAATTCAGTCGGGTTTCGATCCTAGCTAGAGGCAACCGGACGTCTAGCCACGCTGATGTGCTGTAATACTGCGAAACAGTCTGTCTGAAGATGACAATATTTATATATAAGTACCAGCAGTATATTTTATAGTAAAATTACTAACAATACATTAGTACAGCAAAATAACCAGCAATATATTTTATAGTAGAAATACCAACAATAGATTTTATAGTAAAAGGGAAGACATCGCAAATATTGTCAGAAAAAAAATTAAAAAAGCAAAACGAAAAAAATCACTTTACTATGGTTAATCTTATTTCTTGTAAGGAGGAATAAAAGTTTTCACACCTCGTTTGATTTTGTAAGATTATTTGGTAAAAAAAAATGCAGCAAAGTAATTATAATTTTATTATGAAATAATGTCATTCTTCTGAATTAATTATACAGTATAAATTTTCATATTTGATTTCGGCATTAAATAACTCATGGGGTTGATATGCTGCTAAACAAAACCAACCAACTTCTCCACATTCATGTATTCCCTCTCCAACACGTTTTCCTTTCTTGCATTATCTATATCTATTTTGCACGTTGTTGTTATTGTTGTTGTTGTTGCTATTGCACTTCTTTTTCTTCTTTTTTCCTTTTTTCTTTTCCACTATCTTACATGCCATTTCATGTAATCTTTTTGTTTTTCCTCACTATGCTTGTTTTCCTTCTACGTTTCCGTCTTTTTTTCCTCTTTCGTATATTCTCTCTTTAACATGTTATTCATTCTTGCATTATCTATATTTATTTTACACATTGTTCTTCTTCTTTTTCTTACTCTTTCTTTCCTTCTTTCTTTCTTTCTTTCTTTCTTTCTTTCTTTCTTTCTTTCTTTCTTTCATTCGTTTCTCCTTTCTCTTCTTCGTGTCCTTCATATTTTCTTATTTTCTCATATGATTTCAATGACAGTTTATTTTTTCTGTAAGTTCTGTCTCTTTATTTTTCTTTCCTAACAATGTTTCCCCTTTTCCTTTTTAGTCTTATTTTTTCTGTTTTATTATTATTATTATTATTATAATTATTATTATTATTATTATTTGCATTATTTGCATTATTTTCTTCTTCACCATTTTAATCCGTTTTTTTTTACTTTTCCTCTCCCATTCCTCATTTTTCTTTCCAAAGAACATTTCGGGAAACCTTACCAAACGCTAATTCCATGACTAACCATTAATTAAGGCATCAGAAACCGGAAAGACCGTTCTGCGACAATCGCAGACCAAGTTTTATCCTAAAAATGTCTAAAATAAAGGAACAGTGAAACCCTTCAAATAATTAAAAAAAAAAATAAAATAAAATAAAAGAATATGAAGAAATGATGAAAATTTGTGCGAAATTTAATTGGGATGATATCTTTTATAATGAATACAGCAGTCATTTTTCTTTTCTTTTCTTTTTTCATAAATATTTGAATATTGATAAAGAGCTGTTATTAATTAAAGGAATTCAAACACTTCGTTAAGTACCATTTTTTTTATAATCACATTAAATCTCGTCTTTCTTTCGCTTGCAAATAAACAGATTAACACACAAACTATTTTGCCTGTTGGTTGAAGGATATTGTAAAAGGTCAATGGAATTTTATTGACAGAACACCATTCATTAGAATTGTCTGTTCTTTTGCTATCACTTATGGAGTGTCTACATTTCAAGCAGAATTATATTTTCCAATTCTGATAATGGGCATTTTCATCCATTTGGAATCAATTCACATTAGTTACTTTGGCTTTGTCTCTTATAACTGGACATTGATTAATTTGTTTGAAGTCTTTCTACTTGTACACCACATATATATATATATATATATATATATATATATATATATATATATATATATATATATATATATGTATTCCCCACAAATATATATGTATGTATATTTGTACCCCACCACACAACACGCACACACACATATATATATATATATATATATTTGTAGTCCCCCTACAAATATATATTTTACCCTCCATATATCTATCTATCTATCCATCTATCTATCTATCTATCTATCTATCTATCTATCTATCATGATCATCACTCATTCTTTTGACATGCCCATCTGAACTGTGATTGCATCAGGAAGGATTCAACACCACCGATGCCCCGTTTGCTGAAAAAGATCAGGGTTAAAGATTTTCTCCTCCCGTGTATAACCGCATATTGATATTGAATATACATCGCATATTGAACGATATATATATATATATATATATATATATATATATATATATATATATATATATATATATATATATCATCACCCCAATGAAGGCGCAAATACTACTAGTACACGGAGTGAAAGGGAAAGAAAAACTGAATATAGTGTGGAGGATTGAGGAAAGGACAAAAGATGAACTGGTTTCACAGACAGAAGATGGTCAATGACGTTGCAATTTAAATTTTTTAATATTGTAGTTATCATGGACAGCAAGTAAATGGAAGGGAGGTTCACAAGCAGGAAGTGCGAGAAAAGAAGCTTTTAGTGTAGAAGTTGCGGTTGCATTTAGCTTTTTCATCAGTAAACGGGTGGGGCCTAAGTGCCAATCTAGTAGAAGGTTTAAATTCTTGTAGACGGTGCACCAGGGAAAAAAGAATCAATTTCATCTTCATTTTAAATTAGCCACTGCTGCTTGAAGTCTTTTAGCTGTTAGCAATGTCATCTTCATTTTAAATATTAGCCACTTCTGCTTTCAGTGTCTTAGTTACCGAGAGTGTGAGCAACGAAGAGGTCTTAGAGAGGTTGACAACAAGCAGGAGGCTTATACTTAACATCAGGAAGAGTCCCTTTTCTATTGGTTTGATTATTTGCAAATCAAAACAATGAAAGTTTTCCGAACGAGTATAATTTCTTATACGATTACTATTACTACTACTACTACTATATATATATATATATATATATATATATATATATATATATATATGTATGTATGTATTTGCTATCGATTTCAGATTCTCACGATCAAGCCCAGAATTAATAATTCATAGGATTTAACTAATTACTGTCCAAAGCGCAAAGGTCGTGTTTCTTTTTTTTTCTTTTTTTTTGTTTCTGCGATTTATTGACTTAAATATTTCAAATAGTGTATTTTTCTTTCTTTGCTTGCCTACAATACGATATGCGAGTTTTAATTTATCCAAGCCATTTTTCCTCTCACTTGTACTAGCTTTTTCACTTATCTCTGGCGGCATTTTCCTTCATATTCTTGTTTTCCTTAGATCTTAACCATTTCTCCATTTCTAGGGAATTCTTAGTAGAACCAAAGTCACTATCGCCTCAAAACTATTTTTCATTTCAGGAGATTATCAAATATTTAGTGTTAATTTAGAAAAAAATTCGAAGTTGGAATTGTTATTGAATTTTGGATTAGGATTACATAGCAATTGATTATTTCGGTTTGAAGAATATTTTTCTTTCTCGATACATTTCCGAGAGGCATCTTTCGCTCTTCATCTGAGTCTTTGCTTCGTTGATATCATTCTGTCTAGCTTAATCTGGTACCCGGCCACAAAATTGGAGCACCGAATGAAGTGTTTAGTTTACAAAAAGGACAAAATTGCAAAATAATTAGAATACATTTCTAAAGGGACTACAGGAACCATTAATATGTTATTGCTATATTTAGCTTAGTATATTTCAAGGTCACTGAAATATACTATAAAGCGTAAAATTTAATAGGTTTAGAGTATTCTTTGTGTCCATAGGTTCAAATTAGCTTTACAGCCGCACATTAAACCGACTTTGTGTAGCAACCTGACCTCGTTTGAATAAATACAAATTAACTCTACGGCAATTACGCTGTACGACTTTTTGCTTAGCTCCTTCTGATATCAGTAAAATTCAAAGTAAGGACCAGTTTTATTAAAGAGACTTTAAAAGGTTTACGTTGATATAGTGTTAAAACACCACTCCTCGTACTGTCACCGAAGTTAAGCAACGTCGAGCCTGGTCAGTACCTAGATTGGTGACGGCTTGGGAATATCACGTGCT